CAGGAGGATCATCACAAGTCTGAACTGCGTAGTGATACCCTATACCAACCAAATGCATTAAAATAAATAAATAAGAAATATTGATAAGAGACATATATCACTGATTTTAAAAAAGCCTATATTTGTTAACCTAAATAATCAATATGATCTATTATGAAAGTATAATAAGAAAATCTGGAGATGAAGGGGGTATTATCACATATTTTTTGAATCCATGGCATTATAGTTTAGTGGCTATGAAAACAAAACCAAGGCCCTATGGCCTGCCTTTAGAATCCAGGGACAGGCACAGGAAGCAACAATTGTGTGACTCAGCATGCAGCATGGAACAATAAAGGGCCACTGTAGACAGAGGAGTTGTGGTGGTAAGGGGTGACAGGAAAGTTGTCCTGGGAAAAAAAGCAAGCCGAGAAACCGAATAGCTAAAACTGTAGCTGAAGGGGAAAGGGGCTCAGTACATGAAGAGCTGAAAGAGGAGCACTTCGTGCATGTAGAAAAGCTAGTGAAATCCAATGGTGCTGTGAGCAGAGCACATTCTCAAAAGCAAATCTTGTTAGATCTGACTTCTGACTTGGCTGTTTCAGGGCAAAAGGAGCAAGAAATGAAGTTGGAGAGATTAGCAGAAGCCAATCATGAATGACCCATTAAATCTTATTAAGGAGCTTAGATTTCAAATCTGGAGAGCAGTGAGATTAACCAAGGGCTACTATACTCAAATATATAATTTATAGCAAAATGATTGCAGTGTGGTGTAAGGTGGTAAGCCTCAGGAAAGGAGGACCAGAGCTGTGGAAATCTGTTTTAATTTTCTTACAGTGATTCAGATTTTTTAAAAAATGGAAATTCAATGCCTTAAACAGGGCTTCTGGAATAGTGAGTGAGTTAAAAGAAATGAGAAGTTAAGGGTGGTGTCTTGTTATTGTTTTGCTTTGGGGACTGTGTTATTTTTGTTGCCTGGTCAACTCTTTACATAATGAACCACTCAGCAAGATAATAAAATACAGCTGTTTCGTAGGGAAAATGAATAGAGAAACTTAAGAGTATTGGAGGCATCTGATGGAGGCAGAGAAGAGGCAGCTGGAAATGCAGGGGTGAAGCAGGCAAGAACAACCTGGGCCGGCGACACTGATGTGGACCCCTCGATAACAGGGCCTTGGCTTCTGAGGTTACAGAGTGAGACATCAGTGAATGCACACACGGAGGGGAATAAAGAGGAAACCCACTGAGCCTTATATACTGATAATTAAGGTAAAGGGTAAGATGAGCCAAAAGTTAAATTGGAGAGTCTGTCCAGAAGGGTAAAAGGAAGAGCAAATGAGCCTATTGTCCTGGAACCCAAGAAAATAAAGGACTAGAAAAATGAAGTTACGATCAACAGAGTTAAATATTTCAGTACAAACAAGTTAATAAATACTGCCCATGTACCTAAAAACAATATGGCTGCTCATGTGCTTCTTTAGGGCACTTTCTTTAGAGCTTAAAGGGAGACTCCACAACATATTCAAGGTTGATGTGGTATTTTATAATTCATTTAAAAATGTGTATGTATGTTCAGATTTTAAAGCCAGAGCTTTGCTGTGTAGTTCGGGCTGGCCTTGAATGCACTGTATGGCCTATACTGATCTTGAACTCACAGGTCTCCTCCTGCCTCAGCATCCCCAGTGCTGGGATTCCAGACATACACCAATGCCTAGTTTAACACACAGGCTGAAAATGAGCACAGTACTGGCATAGGATTGGGAAATGGAGTTCTTCTTAGAGCAAGGAAATTGCCTCATATGTAAATACTTAGAAGAAGAAGCTGGTATACAATAAAATGAAGAGAGGACACGTAAAGCATGAGATGACACCCTAGGGAAGTGCTTCAGAGGTATACAACAATTATCTCCCAGCTGTGGTTACATTTCTCACTGTCCACCATGAACATTTTCTTTACTTCCACTTTCTTGGACCTGGGACCTGAGTTTGCTGCCCTTGCTTAGGAAAGTGAAAATGCTTGTTGCCCAGAATATAATTTTGTAATCAATTAATCTAAACTGTATTACCAGTTTGAAAAATACCTATCAGTGGACTAAAGCGCCTGCTTAGGCAGAGCGTAGTGGCCAGGGTTTGATCCCCAGCTTTCATCCTCTTAACTATAGATTTTTTTTTATTTTTAATGCATTTGCACATTTTAATATTAAAGATTTAGAAATTTCTTCCCTTTTTTGATCAGAAAAATCTATATTTTATCTTTTTTTACTTCTTTTTTTTTTTTGCTGTTGATAGTCTCAATATATAGTTCAGACTCATAGCGATCCTCCTGGCTCAGCTTGGGGTCATAGCTTGGGGTGCCGTCCCTGCCCCTGGAGCATGCTGAGACAACAACCGAGACTGGGCATGGTGGCACCTGTAATCCCAGCGCTTGGGAGGCTGTAAACAGGAGGATCACTATGAGTCCTATTTATGTAGTGAGACCCTGTAGGCACTGTAGATCCTACCCTAAATATAGAAATAAAAAAAAAGAAAAAGAAAAGTACCTGTCTATGTAAGATTAAATGGCTTTACATGTGTAACATGCAACTACAAAATCCTTAGTGTATTTTTTTATTTAAAATAGATAAAATGGAAGATAAATTTTATTATAGGAAAATACTCTCTGGATTTCATCCTCTTAGCTATAGATTTTTTATTTTTAATGCATTTGCACATTTTAATATTAAAGATTTAGAAATTTCTTCCCTTTTTTTATCAGAAAAAAATCTATATTTTTATCTTTTTTAATTCTTTTTCTTTTTTTTGTTGTTGATACAGAGTCTCAATATGTAGTTCAGACTCATAGCGATCCTCCTGGCTCAGCCTCCCAAGCTCTGGGATTATAGATGCACACCACCATATCCCATTTCAGGGCCAGCATAGCATGTGGCACCAGGGATAGAACTTGGCACCTTGCACTCGCCAGGCAGACACTTAGACCACTGAGCTATCTCCACAGCCCTATATTTTATCTATTTACACCATGTCCTATGTTGCAACTCATAGGTAACTATAGAGGAATACGTGGTCTTTCTAGAGGTAACGTGGGATCTTATAACTTCTATAAAAAGTTGCTGTTACAGGTTTTACATTATTGAGAATCCCAGCAAGATGCCTGAGTCTTATTTTTTAACAGTATCATTGACTTAGTCTTCATTGCAGCTTACTTGGATATGTTCAGAATACTGACTTACTCATAGAATTAAGAACTGAGTATTAAAAAACAGACAGATGGACATTCAGGAACTCTAAATTATAAGTCCAGTCATGATTCTTTAAGGAACCATCGTCGAAAGGCCACTATTCCTCCATGTACCTCATGTTCTTTCTTATAAAATAGGCATGAGCTTTCAGATCTTCATCATAAAATATGTTCTCTGAGAGAACCTATTGTAAGTCAAAGCATGAATTCAAGAAAATGACCCTTAACCCCAATATCTGAGAGGGAGACTAGACACTCTACAAATAGAGAGTGCTAACTAATGGGAACTAACTGTAGCCTACTGCTGCCATTGGGATTAATTTAATGTCACCAGTTACTACCCAGAGGTCCTCTCATGTGTCCAAGTTAGAACAGTGCTAAAATCACAGTAGTTCCCCAGCCCACTTCCTTCTTGTGACACTCTGAACTCATCTGTGGCCCAAGTGCCTGAATGTCACCTGAAGGGATTCACAGGGATCATGTGACTGTCACAAATGTGCCTTTTTAAGTAAAAACTTTTCTAGTTAGGGAGGAATGGAGTGTTTGTAATGGGAAGGAAGAATGAGAAAAAAGAAGATTATTTCTTATTGAACTCCTTCATGTTTTCTAGCCTCTTCTCCTTCACACACACCTCCTCAGGGATAACATGTGCAACTGAGAAAAGGGATCACAGCTGACCATCAGCCTTCCTATTTGTAATCAGTGCACAACCTCTGTGATGAAATTTGTGAGTAATATACTTCCCACTTAAGCCTACCAATGTGGGATCAGTGTCGCCACCCTGGACACTAATGACGGAAGTCAGGCAGCAGCACAGCTTGCCGTTGGGAACTCATTTTTCACATCACCAAAAAGTAATTTCTGTCATTTTCTGCCATCTGCAGCCTGCGTTGTGAAGATGAAATTATCTTTGGGAAGTCTTTAAGAGCACAGGTCTGGAGGCAGCTCGATTAGAGCTCCTTTTCTGCCTCCCACCTGGCTGCATCTACATCAATAAATAAAATCCTCACAGAATATCATGTCTTTATTATAAGAAGCTGAAATGATACTTGTAAAGTATCCTACTCTGATCCTCAGGAATAGCTGTCGTTTCATTAAAGTTAGCTATTATTAAATTATTAAAAGTGGCGATGATGGTAGTATTGAGAATAATAATGTTTTTCCAGGATCTGCATGTCTTAACACAGGCCTTCTTAATTCAGTGTTTACATTCTAAAGTAGTTCAGCTGGCCTGTTACAAACAAAGACCATATGTAGAGGCTTTCCATCGTAATTAGCCCAGGGCTTCAATGTGTGACCAAATAAGTACTTCATATTACTAACAATGCTGCAAAGTGTATGAAATAACGCTTTTTCTTTCCCTAGCATTTGAAGAGAGGTAGGGTGCTATTCATTTTATATAAAAAAGATAATAAATTTAAGTGCCAGTAATTAGAAAAAAAGTTATTCTTAATTTGCATTGAAGTACTTGACTCCTCATTTTTAGATAAGTTTATTCTCATCTGAAAAGAGCTAGGATACTTTCTTTGTATGACTCTATCAGTACACTTTGGACAGCACTCAGGTGACCAGAGGGGGAGAGTCTAACCTTCTAGTGGTACTTTAGAAGTGCCCTAGGAACAGGGTGGACAGATTACAAGTGTGGCTCTTAAACATGGATACCTAACACAGAATTTCAAGGTAGGTAATAAAAGCTCACATTTGCCACATGAAGCCGTGGGACCAGTGTGGCAAGGCTACCTTAACTAACATGCTTATGCATTCCATTTGCTTTTCTTTACAGTTCCACCAAAGATCTCCAACATCTCCTCGGATGTCACTGTGAATGAGGGCAGCAATGTGACCCTGGTCTGCATGGCCAATGGCCGCCCTGAACCTGTTATTACCTGGAGACACCTTACACCAACTGGTAAGCAATCATCCAGTTTCCAAGGTGCCTCACACCAGTTAAGATGGAAGTAGAAGGACAAGAATGTATCTTGCTAAAATACTGTGGAGGGCCAGGGAGATGGCTCAGTGGAATAAGCGATTCCCTGGCAAGTGCAAGGGCCTGAGTTCAATCCTTGGTTCTGCCAATAAATAAATAAATAAAATAATAAAATACTGTGAAATTCCAACAAAAGTCTTAGTAATGATCTTCATGGACATTGACAGTGTGTTCATCTCTATAAGACTTACAGCCACAGAACTGATTGTGTGTGTGTGTGTGTGTGTGTGTATAACTTTCAATAGAATGTTTTCAAGGCAACAAATGCAAGTTTCATGGTTATGTGTCTTAGAGAAATGTTCTGTATGAATTAAATTTACATAGGTTTTACAAATTTGTTTTTTGCTGGTTAGTTTCCTTTTATGCAATATTTCAAAGGGAAAATTGGGATAATACAAAATTGATTATTTTGATTTCTAATGCCCTGTTCTTGGTATCTGGTCTTATATTTAAACAAATATTATTATTAATGGCATCCATTATTTGTTCAAAAATGTCACTCAAAGCCCATCTTTATTAATACATATGACTTATTATTTATTAATAACCTATAAGGAATGCATGAGGTATTTATGTGGGGGCTCACTCTCAATCTCATAGCCTCATTGATGCATTTTATACTTCACATGGAAAAGCACATAAAGAGGATTTTCTGAAGTATGAACCTGAAGATCTCATACATCTCACTCCTGAAATGAATCAGATCCCATGCTAGTTGGATGACATATTAACCCTAAGCCTACCTCCCCACCCTGTCCTAACTTACAGATGCTTTCACTTACTGGAGACTTGGAATAAAAGCTACAAGATTCTCTTTAAACACTTTATCAAAGATAGCTTCTAAACTCATCATACTATCTAGAGATTAGTGATATTTTATAGTATCAGTATTGTGAGAGTCCTTTTCAAGAAATTCCCTTTTCTTTTTAGTATATCTTCCATTCTCTTCCTAAGCGATAGTTATATTTTTTATACACTGCTTCAGTTCATTTTTACAAATGTTCCCAAATCTTTCACTATATTGGGGTTTTTTGGTTTTGTTTTGTTTTGTGCAGAACCAGGGATTGAACTTAGACCCTCACGCTTGCCAGGGAAGCGCTTATCCACTGAGCCATCTCCCTGGCCCCTAATCTTTCACTATATTAACTGTTAGCAAACATGAAGATAGCTTTATGATTCTCTGTAAAAGAATGTTATTACGTATAAGTTGTACATTAATATAATTAAGTTTACACAAAATATATAGATGTTTATGGCATCCAATTCATATACATACCACATTCCTTAATAATCTTGTTTTCTTACTTATTTTGTCATGTATTTCAAAATTAATTAAAATTTTTCTACATCTGTTATTTTATAATCCAAAACAAGGTGTCAGCAACTGATAGCCTACAAGCCAGATCTAGTCTGTCCTAAATATGCACAGCCTGTAAACAAGAATTCTTTTTAAATTATTAAATGGTGAGAAAAAAATTGAAAGAAGAATTCTACTTTATGATATACAAAAAAATGAATGCAATTCAATTTCAGTGTATGTACATATAATTTGATTGAAATATATCCATGCTCATTTGTTTGTACACTGTCTATGCCTAAATTTGTTGTAAAAACAAGAGAGTTTTGTGGGCTTGGCCCAGAAAGTTGAGAATATTTTCTGTCTGATCCTTCAGAGAAAACTTTGCATGCCTTTGCCGCAGACCATGGCTTAGGACGCAGGACAAGGACTTGTTGCTCTTACTCAAGGCGCCGAGGATTTTAGAGACAGTGTCCCTCACATTGCTGCAGTTGTATCAAATGGTTACTTTTTGCTCTTAGTATATGTTTACAATGCATAGAAAATATAATTTGATACACATAATGATCACATTGAGCACAGAGAATGTGCATCTGTAAATGATACATTCTGATTCCCTTTTGGTCCCAGTCCCTTCCCCTCCTTTCAATGACCTTCCCGTCCCTATGTTTCTGTTTTCCTACCTGATCTTTGAACCATCTCATTTTATTTCACTACAAAGTTAGAGATACGGGGGCAAGCTCATTGTTTTCGACATGCATAACCACTTTTCTTACTTGTTAAAGAGGCTGTCTTTTCTTCAGGCTATGAAACAGGACCTATGTTGAAGATAAGATGGCTAAAAATGCCTACAGCTATTTCTGTGTCCTTAGTTCTCCTTCACTGATTTGAAATTTAGTATTGTGATGCCTCCAGTTGTATTTGGATTGGTGAGGATTGCTTTGGCTATTCTGGGCTTCTTTTGGTTGGATGTAAGTTATAGATTGTTTTTTCTAGTCATATAAAGATATTGGTGGTGTTTTGATTGGGATTGCATTAAATGTATATATCATTTTCAGTAGTATGGCCACATTGACAATATTGTTTAAACCTATTCTGGAATGAGGATATCTTTCCATTTTCTGATGTCCTCTTCAATCTCTTTTCAGAGGACAGCATTCAAGTGTTACATTATGATGTTATAAAGGTCTTTCACTTTGTAAGTTAATTCCTAGGTACTTAACTCCTTGTAGCTACTATGAATAGGACTATTTCCTAATTTCTTTCCCAGTCATTTATTGTTAGTGTACAGAAGTATTATAGATTTTGTGTATTGATTTTGTATCCTGCTACTCTGCTGATTTTTTTAATAGTTCTAAGAGTCTTTTAGTGGAGTTGTTTAAGTGTTCTCTGCAAAAGTTCATGTTATCTGTGAATAAAAGATTGTTTGACTTCTTCCTTTCGTATATATCTCATATATTATTTTCTCTTGCTGTATTTCTCTATATAAAGTTTTGAGTACTACATTGAACAGGATAAAACATTAGCTTTACTTTTAAATAGTCATCTGTCTCAGCCCTCTCCATGAGCCAAATTCTTTTGGGGCACATGTGCAACCAGTTCCCTGATGCATTTGTAGGTCAAAGACAGACGGCTGTTCTCCCTTACAACAAGTATTAATTCCCAAGCTTACTCTTTCATCTCTTTCACATCTGGCCTAAATACCAAACACATGATCAAAATTATATTCCTAGTGACAGGAGTGAGCATTTGCCTTTACAGTTCTATAAAGAAAACTAGGATTTTATGTGTGTTTTATCCCTTTCAAAATTTGGAAACAGTGTGAACCTTTTCAGCCTATCAAACAAAGCCTTTCTTGGAGACACCCAAAGAAGAGACCTGCTGCTCTGTGTGTGACAGCAGAGCTGCCTACAACCTGTGGCCATGTGAGAAAAAATAATCCAGCTAGCTTTGTTCAATTATTTATTGTGCTTCTGCAGTACTGTGGAAACATTGTGCCCTCCATAGGAAATGTGCCTGTAATTAGCTCAACCCCACAGGAACATGAAATCCTGAAAGGGGAAAGATTCCATGTTGAGTTCATAAATGTCTGATTACCTGTCATTTGAAGAAGAGGAAAAGAAAAAGAGATGCATGGTATATTTTTATAAGGAGAATGAATTATCTCCTAACTCAGTGCTTCTTTCTTTAACTTTTAGTTGGATTATTTTGTTTCCCTTTCCAGTGATACTTAAAGTTTCTTTTTTCAAATGCACAGCAGATGTTTTAAAAGAAATAAATTAAAAGAAGGATGATTTTTTTTGTATATGCAGAATCAAAACACTTCTCTGACTTTGATGGAGAAGAGATTAAGGCACTCTGTGTATGTCTTTCATATATTTCTAATTTCTTAATCTTTTCTTTTCTTTGGTTACTTTATATAGTCAAAATGATGTGTCACGTGTGTAGTTATTAAATGTGACCTATTTTCTCCCTTAATTAAGTTAGACTTTCATAATCCTGTGTCACCCAGAGGGCAATTGCACTGTAACATGTCTTTTTCTGTGGAGTGTTTGATCTCCCTTCTGTGAATGATGCTGCTCCTATCTTCATTGAACTTCATTTCTAAATCTTTTTTCTTACATTCATGAGAAAGCCTTTCCTTCATGGGGCATCACAATTGCTCAGGGGTATAAAATTGTCTCTATGCATTTTGTTTCTACAAAGGTTTCACAATCTCACTGACTTTTGTAACCTGGAAAACCCAAAAAGCACACTGAGGATTTTGCCCTGCAGGCTCAGGAGCTACTGTGTAATTTTTTGTACAGTCAGAAGCCAGATGAGACGTCAACACGGAACATAGAAATCTTACTTAAAACACATTGTATATTTTGATGGAAGAGTCAGAAAGCATTATTTTGGGAGGAGCCACGAGGATTTCAGGAGTCTCAAACTCTATTTTCTCATTATGGATTGGGTGTTCATCTCTTGATCTGAGATTCTTCTTTTAATTCATGTTTAACTCTGAGCTTTTTTTATTGATAGTTTTCTTGAAGTCCATTAATGCATTACCATCATGTATCTTTTAGTTGCATATCTCACACTGTAAGACCAGTATATAGTCTGTTTCTGTGGGTTTGATATACGAATTCGTAAGATTCCTTTAGTCAAATTCTGAAAGTAAATATTTTAACTACTATCATCAGATCTTGAGTTGACAAGTTAGGATAAGTATGATCCATATTTAACAAAGGCCATACACCCTACAATTCAAATTCTGGTAAATTATTTTTCTTAAGTTTTCTTCTTTAGAACATCCAAAAAGTTCTATGTGTTAATTTTGAAGGTGTTTGGGTATGAAAGGGTCAAGCCCATTACTCTAAGAGTAAGAGTTGTTGACCACATAGAAAGGAGAATAGTGGTTTACCTTGTTCTATTAATTGCTTTCCTTAATCCTCTGCAATTTAATTTTTGTAATATTCCCATTTCACCTTACAAAGAGAAGAAAATATTGGGTTGTTTTCAGCATCTTGTTTATAGAATGGTGTATGTCTATCAGTACTCGATTATATTGAAGATAATCCTGATATCCATGTCACAAAGCATTTGTCAGACTTTGGGCAGACTTATTTGTAATGCGTTCATT